ATGTCAGGCTGTAAATTACTGTGAAAGATCAGTTTTCAGTGAGCTACATAAATTGTCAATATCAGAGATGCAATAACATTAAGTGTGCAATATTCCTATTAATTTTTGGGTTCTAGTGTGGGCACTAGAAGAGTTGGCACATCCCTTAAGGATTGGAGGATAAGTGCAGAGCTCCCTCTGCTCTCTGACTGAGCACCAGGGTGTTTAAGCTGCAAAATTCACAGCAAGGCACAAAGTTCTTAAGGACCACAATCTTTATTTCCAGTGTAGGTTTTCAAAGTTAAAACTGTCTCCCCAGCTTTTTCTTCGTACTGAAGCCATTTTTATTTTTACCTATTGTTTTTTCTTATGGTGAGATCATCTGTACCAAATTAAATAGCCCTGTGCAGTCACTCCAGTGTACACAATAATGTGATATTCAATTTACAGAGCACCAAGTCCACAGAGAGGGAAGAGCCCTCCCTTTAATTAGCAAGAGCCTCTTGGGAGCTGCAGCTTCTCTCTTGCCAATGGCAAATATTAAATCCCAGGAATAATATTTAAAATGCTAAAAATGGCAAATATTAAATCCCAGGGTATTTCTGAGCTCTGACATTCGCTCTGCAGGACATGATGCTGTTGGAAGCAGGTCTCACCTGCAGGTCAGGAGAACACATCAGCAATGTTCTCTCTATGTATATTGCCAAGATTTAGGAATTGATTAGCCCAGCTCTACTTCCTACTTAGTGGTGGCCAGGCTTGTTTAACCCTTTTAAACTTTAATTTTTTTAAATCCTGATAAAGATGATTTCAATCTTCAGCAGAAAGTACTTGTGGGAAAATGCATTTCCTTGGAAAATTTCTTCTTGTTTGGCAAGAATTAAAGCTTGGCACTTTATTAGCCTTTCTAAATAATGTCCCCAGCCTGCTTTCAGAGAGCTTTGCTGATGCACAATTGAGGCCATGGTAGACAAGACATGGCCTCATCTCAGATTTTCTCTGATGCATAAAATGTGATGTCCAGCTGGCTGCTGCATAAATAAACATTTTCCTGTAGGACAGCCACACCTCAGGTGTACAGGAATAGCTGATAATTGGTGTCAGTAAATCATTATAGTGCAAGCCACAAACATAATCACTCAGTTTGTAATTTACTCCTGATGGGGGTACTTGTTCTTCTCAATACTTAATATGTCTGTTTATAGAAAAGTTGATTGAGATAATTAGCAGTAAAAATGCTAAGGTAACACGGCTATGGTAACATTTAAATTGCCATCAATTTTGTTTATAGCAGCCTAAAGAGCGGTGCTGAAATTAGAAATTAGCTACAATTAGCAAATAAATTGAGTGTCTCTTGGAATTACTTGATCATGTCTTAAAATGTTGCACAGTGAGATGCTCACAGAGGCAAAGCTGAGTCCCTGGGCTGCTCAGCTGCACCAGTCAAGGAGAACACATCTTGCTTTGCTGCTGTTCCTGGCCTTCCATGGAGCCTGGGCTGTTGCCCCACTGCAGAGGTTTGATGAGTACATGCTGTGAAGCCAAAAAACCCCAAAATTGCTCTCAGGGATTTGCCCCTGCATGGGGGAAAAGAAGGCAGAGTGGGATTTTCAGCGATGTGCAGCCTTGTGGGCAGCAGCTCAAGGACTGTAACCCTTCCACCAGTTCAGTAAATGAACCTTGAGGCGCACATTTACTGTTGGCAGCTCCATATGAGAGGAATAACTTGGGCTGGAAATGTGTTGTTATCCCAGAAGATGAGGCACAGACACAGAAGGCAGTTTTCTCTGATTGCCTGGAATGTGTCTCTTTGGAGGGCCTTGGGCATCATTTTATGTTCACAGTTAGAAACAGTTTGCTTCCCCCAGTAAGGTTCTTTAAGGACCCTGCTTGATAAATGTTTTACAGAGGCATGTAATTATTTCCTGGCATAATTTCATAGTTTGATGTGGAAGGAAATGTGTTGTCTGCTACTGTTAAAATGGGTCATTAAGTGCAGTTTTGAGAATGAAAAGAGGATGGGAATCAACTGTTCAGGATCAGCTGCTGACTCACCTCTCTCATACAGCAAAAGTTTTCTCATTTTTTCACCTTTTGTTAGAAGCAGACAGGGAATGGTTTTCTGCCTTTCAACTCTGTGTCCAGAGAGGAGAAGGTGAGCTGAACATCTCATCCTCCTCCTTCAAGCACAAGTCTTGAGTATTTATCCAAATCTCACATGATGGCTCTCAGCTGCTGGGATCTTGCCCAGTTTTGGATGTACATGTTTGATTCTACTACAGAAACTCTCCTATTTAGTGTAAGTTTAAGTAATTTTTGGGCTGGAAGGGGACAAAATCTTCACCCTGTGCTTAGCCATGTGCTGAAAGGATGTGAGGATACTGAGTCATGTCTGTGCTCCACTGACCAGCACCTGATCCTCATGAAGTGAAACAGGAGACCTTGTCTGGCCTGGAAGGAAATTCCCACAGCTGAGGAGCTGTGACATTTGTCTGGGATGTGGAGAAATGGTGGCACGATGATGTTCACCGGGTGATACACAGATATCTGACTCCTAGCCCCTGTGCTCTACATCCAGGTCTCTTTCTCTGGGATTGGAAATACCATTCCTATCCAGGGAAACATCTCCCGGTGGTGTTAAAAGTTACATATTCTGGGGTAAATTTCAGCATCTTATAAAGAAGAAAAATTTCCTTGAGTATTTTCTGGCTATTTCCTTCCTTCTTTCCTCCTCTTCAGCAGATGTTGGCTCTTTAAAGACCAAAATCAGGCTGAGGGGAAAGGGAAGAAGTGATTGTCAGGAGAAAGAAGTCCCAGGGATTATGGATGGGGCAGTCACACCACAGGCAGACCCCTACTGAGGGCTGAGCACCAGGATCAGACAGAGTGAGAGTTATCTGGCCTGAGGCTGCTGCTGCCTTTTTTATTGTGCTTCCTTCAAAGCCAGGTGTCTGTGCTCCCTGTGGATTTCATCTGTGGAGAATTTATCACTGATAAATAACTGTTTGTGTTGAATTTACAGATGAGCTAAACTGTTTTCATTAATGTTGCAGTTTAGTAGCTTTTCGTTTTCAGGTTTGTGTGAGCACTGGCATTCAAAGGAAATAAATCTGTCACTCAGATAATGTACTTGCCCTTGGTACCAAAATACATGAATAAGAGTTACAAGGTCATTAAGCATATCAATAGAAAGAAAAATGTGCTGTGCATTAAACAGCTGACTTCCAGGTTGGGTTGGGCAAATAGCAGTGTACTAAAGTGTACTGCTCATTTCTCCTTCTGATTGTGAAAAACAATTAATTCCTTTTCTTTTTTTTTTTAGCACTTTCTCTTTGCACTGGACCCTCAGCACACGTCAGTCCAAATTTATGAGCAGTGTGTTTTTCAGTGTATTCCATTTATCAAATGTAAATTTCAGTAGCCAGTGATTTACCACAGAGCTGTTTGGAAAGCAGCAAGTAAATATTATTGCCTAATAAAGTATTAAAAAAAGGAAAGCCAGAGCAGAGATTTTATTTGCCACTTCCCAAGCACTTTATCTTTGTCCTTGAAAAGGCAGGTTAGGTGGAGAATGCCCCAGTATAGGTCTGGAATGCATCTTTATGGAAATGTGTTTTTATTCTCAGTAAAAGGCAACCTTGGAAAGTACTGGATTACTGCTTATATTTTAATGTCTTTCATTTTCAGACTTTTCTACTCGGTGCAGACCTGAGGGAGCTGGATCCATAAGCCTCCCACACTCTGCATCACTCCAGATCTTGCTGATGCAAAGAGACAAGTCCTCATTGTCCCCTGCCGTGGAGTTCAGACAGTAAACAATCAGCAGGGAGAAAATTGCACAGTGTGGGTTCCATGGTGTCTGGGCAGGCTGGGTGGCACAGTCTCCACTCAGCCCCTTTTAGCCCTCTTCATCAGCTCAGGGCCACAGAGATAAGATGATGAGAGCCCTGGAGCACCTCTCCTGTGGAGACAGTCTGAGACAGCTAGAGATGTTTAGTCTGGAGAAGGGAAGGCTCTGGGGTGACCTTAGAGCCCTTTCCATACCCCATTCATGTGTCAAACACAGCCAGATGACACAGCTGATTTTTGTAGAAGTTTCAGTAACACTAGATTAAAATAGCACCCATGGCAGGGATTACCACCTCACAATTTATTCTCTGCCTGATGGTCCCAAGAACAGTGATACTGTGGTGAAGGACTTGTCTCTTTATGAATTCTAAACTTATCTACCTCATGCAGCCATCTGCATCCCCTCAGACCCACCTGCCCTGTGCAGCAAGGGGAGAATTGAGCGATCCTTTTGAACTGACTAGCAAGCACCCTACACACAGTACAGAAGCACCTGTGTTGACTCTGGAGGGGAAAAAGAAGCCACATGGCTGTTTCTCACGTTTCATGTTGCTGGAATAGCTCCTGAGGTATTAAAAAGTCTTTTTTCCCAGCCCCACGCTCAAAGTCGGGATTCCTCAGCTCTGGTTCTCAAGGTTGTTTATTTTCTCTTATCTAATGCTTTCTTTTTTGGATCCATTGAGGTCTGTCAAGCAGGTCGGGTTGAGACACACTGACCGCCCTCAGGGTGGTGTCATCTTTTTATACTAAGAACTACATGTACTTTATTTACAATAATTTTCCAGTACCTATCACCTATGTTAGACAGTCTGTCTCTACTTTAAACCAGTCCAGAGGTGTCACCATCACAGCAGAAGATGGAGGACAAGAGGAAGAAGAAGAAAGACAGGACACGCCCAGATTCCTCCATCTTGCCTCTTGAACGCCCATTTAAATCCCCAAAATTCTACTTTTTCACCCTGTGATAAATTCACTAACATTCTACTCAAACCCTTGTGGCTTGTAAATCTTCACACAAAGTTGGTAACTTTTTCCATGGGCTAAGATGGAAGGCACAGGTGTCTTTCACTCCATACCAAGGTCTCTGAGCCCCCTGCCAGTGTCTCGAGCCATCCTCAGGGCAGCCAGAGGCATGTCCTGTGTTCTGACAGATGGTTTCTGTGCCTCCCCAGGTGTGGCAGTGCGGGGGCAGCATGGAGGTGCTGCCCTGCTCCCGCGTGGCGCACATCGAGCGCACCAAGAAGCCCTACAACAACGACATCGACTACTATGCAAAGCGCAACGCCCTGCGTGCCGCCGAGGTCTGGATGGACGACTTCAAATCCCACGTCTACATGGCCTGGAACATCCCCATGGCAGTGAGTACAGCCCACACTGTGGCCTGAACACGGGCAGAAACACAAAGCTGTTCCTAATTAGCTTTTGGAGGTGAATGTTGCGGTGTGGTGAGTCCCCAGGACGAGGTGAGAGATGAGAATTGACTCCAGGTTCTCTGAAGGCTGATTTATTATCATATCATATAATATCATCTTACGTTATATTATATTGCATTATATTAATAAGAAAATATAATATACATTAATAATATGCATTATACTAAAAGAAATTTTATACTAAAACTACACAAAAGAAAGAGAAAATAGACGTCAGAAGGCTAGACAAGAATGATCGTAAAAACTCGTGACTGACCAGAGTCCCAACACAGCTGGCTGTGATTGGTGATTAATTAAAAACAATTCACATGTTTGGATAAACAATCTCACATTCCAGAGGAGCAAAACATAGAGAAGCTGAGGCTTCTCATCTTCTCAGGAGAAAAATTCTGGTAAAGGGATTTTTCAGGAAATATCACGGTGACAGGTGAAGGGTGTTGCTACAGCTGCACGGAGTGGGCAAAGCTCAGGGAAAGAGCTTTGGAAAGGGCATGCTCAGTATGGAGAGTTCTACCAGGAGAACTTGCTGCCTTAGTCTAAGTTTAGTCTTGCACTCAGTGCATACTGTTGTATGCAGTGACACAGATTTATCATTTAACCAGAGCAAAATGTCTCAGCTTTATGTGCTCCCCCAGAAGTCGTTAATTTGGGGCGCCGTTAAACTCTAAGGTGTTCATATGCTACAACAGTGGGGACAACAGAAATGTCCATAAATAAATATCATCATTCATTGTGAGACTCAGTAGACCTCACCAGCATAAAAAACAAAGTATGTAATAAAAGAATCACACATTAAATAGTTTTATTGTCCACAGGCTGAGAGGTGCAATGTGGGCACGTTCTGCTTCTCACTGTGCATATGAATTGTAGATGGCGTGTGGGGGCCTCAAGGAATCCATGTAATATAAATATTAGATCAACTGTAGGTTCCATTTATCACTTAATTCTGTAAGTATATCACGTGCTACATCTGCACTGAGCACAATTCTTGAAGAAAAGAGTTTTGTTATATCCCAGCCAGGTGGAAGCTAGCTGTTGGTGTGTTCCTTGCCTGTGTTTGCATCCAAATTATTCATGTGAAGGGGCACAGGGAGAGCAGCTGAGGGGTAACATACACTGTTGGTAAGGATGGTTTAGTTAACCCTTACAGCAGGGGTTTTGGCCAGAGCTGAAGGAAATAGGAACAGGAATGTTCCCATCAGAACAGGAAAATATGCAAACCCAGAGGTGTCTGGGAATATTCAGATATGACCTGGAGTTCATCAAAGTCATGGGAGTCTTGTCTAAGGCCTCACTAGATTTAGTCTGTCCTAAACACCTACTTTGGTTCCTAGTTAATACATGAAACCTCATTTTTGTTCCTTCCCCTTACAGTTTTTAAAATACACATTTTAAAGGAGCAATGTTTCCTCTTTGTCCATTTCATGTGTGAATATGCCAGATATTTTCACAGCTCTAAATTCACTCACTGCTGTTCAATATGGACACTCTGTGCAATGTGTTTTTAGTGACTTCTTTTGGCACAAGAGGTAATTGCAGAGAATTATTTTGCCTTAACAAAAGGCAATACTGCATCACTTTTTCCACACAAGATTTCTGTGACAGTAGGAGGAAGGCAGTGCAGTGTCCATTAAAAATACATGAGCATTTTGGCCCTGTCTGAACACATAAAATACACTTGCTAAAATGGTCAGTTTTCAATTAGGAGATGAAAAACTAACCTCTGTAAATTTGCTTGCTTGATGACATGTGCAAATGAATTCTGAGAAAAGATGATATTTAAATAAGCATTTATGCCAAAACATGATTTCCTTTAATCTCTCTGAGATTACTTATTGATGCAGTTTTCTGCACTGAGCTACATAGCAAAGCTTTTAAAAAAACCCTGGCACATCTACAATAAAAGACATAAAATCAGCAGAAGTACTGAACATTAAAATTTCCTTTTCATAAAATAAATTGATTGATTGATTGATGAAATGTACATCATAAAAATCAGCCTATTAGCTCTCAGGAAAAGGAAGCTGAGAAAAGTTGGTGTTCATGACATTATTCAATACAGATGACAGAAGAACTGTACTTTTGGCATAAGCCATCACAAAAACCTTCTGCAGGGGAATTAGAAACCTTGCTAGCTGGTTAAAAAGAATATATCCACACAGTAAATCCTGTGGACACCTCATTCCTGTGCCATCACACTGTAACCTGCCCATGGTGGCTGCAGCTGGCACAGAGGGTGAGCACAGCTCAATTTGTTTTCATAGCTGCTTCATTTGCTGCTCTTGTGCTCTGCAGAAACAGCACTGCCAAAAAAGGGCACTGTGTTGCCTCATTTTAAAATAGGGCAGAAAATAGGCAGGTAAAACACAGGCATTTTCCCATGCCACTAAACTGACTCAAATTAAGTCTCTTGTAACTTATATTCTTAGCTTCTCCACATTAACTCTTCTTCCCACCACCTTTTTCACAGCTCACAGGTTATTGAGAATGTGTGCATAATGTTTTTCTAGATCAGCAGATGGTCTTGGGCACACCTGCAAGATCATGTTCCCATAACCTTCAGCAGCAGGTCAGCACAGCTTTATTCCAGTTAACCAAACACTTAGTACATCCCCACTTATGACTTATTCCTCGACAATTTTAGTGATAAAGGAATCTTACATTGGATGATTTATTGCACTGAGTGCCTCAGAGGATTGCTCTCCCTCCACGCAGCCTCAAGTACCACGTAAATTAACATTCATCTGAATGGATGCTGCACTGAGGGCTCCTGACAGAACGTGCATCAGCAAGCAGCAGTGAGCACAGCAAACCCTTTATGTGGCAAATAGGAAAACCTGTTCAGTATTACACTTGTATTCTCTCCTGAAAACCAGGCATCTGTTGGGGATCTTAATAAACCCTGAGCTAAGATTTGCTGCTGTCTTGGAACCCTGCATTAGAAACAATCTGTAAAATGTGCAGATATTCTTCTGGAGGAAAAGCACAAGGCACTTCAGAGGGATCTCATGCAAAACTCCCCAGTTTCAGTCCATTTGATTAATATAGTGTCAGAAAAGGTTTTTGGATGAGGTAACTCTTACTGTCTTAATGTTGAACTGTGATGATTTATAACACTTTAAATCAACAGACTCTAACTCAGGACTCAGCAGTTCTAAATGGCTGGCTTTGTTCATATTAACTTGAATCTTCCAGCCTGTGTCTTTCATGGGATTTGTATTTAAATGTGAATTAAATTCTGAAGTAGAATTATAAAGGTTTTGAGTTTAACTGCATTCTATGGCTCAAGTCTGCAAATGAGCTGCAGTTCTAGTAAAAACTGAATGCTGGTCTATATGAATGCTTAGTGGAGCTTAATGATTTTTGAGCAGCTTCACTTTGAAGTTTTAACAGATCTGTTCTGACATCATTTACTTCACTGAATACTCAAATCTCTTACTGGAGTAAGCATGACCAAGCTGCCATATTTTAGATCAGAATTACTGCCTAAATTCTAAATGAATCTGAAGACAAAGGCTTCAGGATTGATTGCAAACACTTAGAACTGCTGTAAGTAACAACATTCTTATTGTATTCTTATTATTTTGATTTATTTTGGGGTTTCTTTTGTTCTTTATGCTCCTTTTTCCACTGGCTTTCATTAATATTTATTGTCTGCACTCAGCACCAGCTGTTTGATGAGCTGCTGCTTACAACAAAAGCAAGAAAGGAGGGAAATACAGCTTGGTACACAAAATGAACTCCAGTTTGATTTCAGTGAAGATAGCAACCATAAAGCCACTGCAGTGAGATTTCTTTATTCGTTTTCTGCTTTGCAGAACCCCGGAGTTGACTTTGGAGACGTTTCTGAACGAATTGCTCTGCGACAGCGACTGCAGTGCCGGAGCTTTAAGTGGTACTTGGAGAACGTGTACCCTGAGATGAGGGTTTACAATAACACAGTCACTTATGGAGAGGTACAGCATGTCTTTGGAAACACATCACAGCTGCACTCGAGCGCTCCTCTGCTTTCAGAGCTGGCTATCAGGATGTACCGAGCAATGACACATCAGCACAGCAGTGGTGACAAAAATGCCCTCCCCTCCTTTTAACCAGCACTAGGGAGTGTGGCTTTGAGAAGCCCTGTTCCTTTTGTTGGAGGGCAGCAGGTTGTAGGGACACAGTCTGGGGTCACTGGGAGTGGGGCTGTGGCTGAGCCCCATCCCCAATGGGCACAGCTGTGAAAAACAGGTGAGCAGCATTGAAACAAAGAGCCATGGAGTGCCCAGGGGCACTGAGCAACCACCAAAGGGAACAGAGGGTGCACAGGGGCAGTGCATCAACATGAGGAGGATAAAAGGTTGGGTTAAAGAACAAGAAGAGCAGATGCTTGAAGCCTTCTGATGTTATTCTGCATGGGTTGAAGCCTTCTGATGTTGTATGGTGATATTCTATGTATCATGGCTCTCTCAACAGTGACCTATGCAGCAGCACAGGTGAAGTCATCCTTACTGACAATTACACACAAACCTCCTTGGCTCTCATTTTAAAACACTGAGACATAAGTTTGAGCCAGTCATTTTCCCAAATAAGATGCCGCAGACATCATAAAGAAAACGTCAGTGGTCAACAGAGCTCAGATAATTGTCTACATGAGCTGCAATTAAATCTGAAGCCAATATATTTTCCCATGAGACAGCTAAATGGAGACTGCTCCTTTCTCTTCCATTTGATTGACTTCATACAAAAATAAGTCAGGCACTTGAGACATTGATACAAAGTGGAAGTTTTATTCCATAATATCACTTTGCATCCTAATATAACTAGCCCCATCAGGAACTGAGAAAAGACATTGAGTAAATTCAAGAGGAGCTGTTGGTATCTGTCAGCTCTGAGGAGGTCGTTAACAGTGAAGAACATTGGCAGAAGTGCCAATGCTGTGTCAATTATACCAGACCCTGAGCAATCTGGGCTCTAAAATAAATTTTGTTCCTCTTGAGCTGTCACATAGAAGGTTCTTGAGTCAAACAGGAAGTTCAGTGATGCAAATATCAAATTCTTTGATGTTTTTAATAGAATAGAGCCACACAAGGTATTTACCTATTATAAACCAGCCTAGGTCACTTTCAGTCTTTAGGCTTCATCCTAATGACATCAAGCTGTTGTAAAGTACTTCTGGGTATTTTCCTGGAGGAAAAGATGTCTGGATTTTTGTGAGGTTCAAGAAAAATAAATGTATTGAGTAGATGTGAGACAGATTGGAACAGTAGTAAAAATATATTTCCTAGTGACTCACTTCCCCTTTTTTTAAAGCCATCTCATAAAGCTGTCTTCATCTTCTTTAGCCTTTATAGCCCCCAAGCCATAAAAGAAACCTCCTGAAATTTAGTTGTTGGTGGGCCCCCTTATCCAATTGGATTCCCTGTTATGCTTGTACACTATAATATGAAGGAATATATATTGATTTTTTCCTGACACCTTATGCAGCAGCTGTTTTGAAATTATGGGGGTCCTCAGACAGGTACTTCACAGTCTAAACCAAAATTGACCTGTGGAGTCTTTTGAGGTGTCTGTCTAAATAACTTCTTGTTTATGATATCTCTAAAGTTTTTCTGTGTTCGAAATATGTGTGTAATCCTTACAGCCTCAAGAGAAAGGCTGGAAGAGGTTTCACAAGAGCTCCATGCCAGTTTTTATAGACTTGTAAATTCTTCTTGTCTAGGGAGGCACAGGAATTTTTTACTTCCTTGGATCTCTGAACCTGTGCCCTTTCATAAAATGTGCTTTATGTCACTTCTGTACGTAACAATGTACTATATTTTTAGTTCAGATAAAAATTTTTCACATGCTTTTTTGATTTCATATCAGCAATAGGAAGAAACAAAAGCATGTCACATCCAACACCAATCCTGGGTACCTCCTATCCTGTTTGTAAAGCTCCATTCTCAACATACAGGGTCAAAATTTATGTTTGCACATTGGCAATTTGGAGCAAAACTTGGCCTGGGTTTCTTAGGGTGAATTATAGGAAGTTCTGATCCTTGTGTCTGACCCGAGGTGTGAAGAGACAGCAGGCTGTCCAAATAATGTCTTTTCCTGGAGCAGATTCCCTGCTGGCACCCTGTCCTAGCTGAAGGAGAAGAATGTATCCCTCAGAGAGCAGTTTTACATAGTACTTTTTTCAGGAGCTGTAGCACAGCTGAGATTTAGCTGGGCTGGACTGAAATGGGGATTAATTTCCAGCTGAAGTGTTTTCATTCTGATCTGGTTCCAGGTGCGGAACAGCAAAGCCAGCGGCTACTGCCTGGACCAGGGGGCTGAAGAGGATGACAAAGCCATCCTTTACCCCTGCCATGGAATGTCCTCCCAGGTAAAGGGTGAAAATCCCATCATGAGTGAGAAACCTTGAACTCAGAGAATATTCAGAAGAAACAAAGAGTAATTGGATGTATTTGGGTTGAGTTTGGCAGTGTAATTCCTGAGCTGCAAAGGCAAATATCTGGCTTTGCTCCAGTCTTGTCAGGTGCCTTTTCCAAGGCTGTCCAGCTTGTGAATCCATACTTTGAAATTGCCAGTTAGGAAAACAGAAGGATCACATTACTTGTTTAAATAACAGGGATCCACTGAAGATTAATTAATTTAGCTGGTCTGTGTGAGTGAGCAGTTCTTCTTGCTATAACATGACTTATTCATGGTACCTCTTTAATTTAACTGTTCCTTGGTCCAGCAAGCTCTCGGGCAGAAATTATTTATCAAGCTGCTGATTTGATTCCCCAAGTAGGCAAAAAGTTAAGCACATATTTAACATCAGCTTCAAAGGGAATTAAGAATATCCTCTAAGACTTTTCTAAAATAGGTTTCTCTTTTTTTTTTTTTTTTTTTGTCAGTTCCTGTGCATATTATTATTTTCTTTCAGATGTCTGAAGATTTAAAAATGACATTTCTTCTTTCCATGCTCATAGTGATTTTACTCATACAAGTTGGATATTATTTAAATCCAGGACTTGAGCTTTTTCTGAAATGAAATTCTTGTTTCTTTTGAAGTAGCATCTGAATCAAAACTATATTAATGAACATTCTCATGTGTAAATAAACTCTGACCTTATCAGGCTTAACAATTATCCAAGGTTCAGTCATGCATTTATTGATTGGGAGTCCTGGCTCATGCATCACCACGGAGGTGAAGTGAGACAGACAGTAATTCCTGCTGGCACAATGTCCACCTTTGGCAGGATCATTATGGACTATTTGACTGACACTCTCCTAGTAGAGGTGGAAGGAGCAGCCTTTGAGTAAGGTAACAAAATGGCATTGCTTAAATAGATGTAAATTAGCTTCTCAAGAAGACTCTCATTAGAGATGTCAAGGTGCTCAGAGAGAGCTCAGTCTCCTGCTCCATCCTAATCGGAACAGAAAGTTGCAAATTTAAGTCCTTCCTGAAAGTCCCTTAGCAACATCTAATCTCTATCATGGTGTTCTAGCACTTAGAAGAGTAATGAAATAAATGGTTCTGACTGTAATTTATTTTGCAATTTAGGTCCTTAACCTACTTATTTGCCTCCATGATTCCTGTTTCACAGAGTAGGCTTTGACTTTGACTTCAGGAAGAAAATAGATGAGGGCATAAGTTACAGTGAATTCTTCCCTTTAAAATAAACAAACAAACCGACAAAAAACAGGAAAAGAGTTTTCATTCTACAAGAAACACCAAATGAAGGCAGAAGTGATGTTTTATCTAAGTTGAGTATTTCACAGACAAGCATGGGTTGGAGCCACTCAAATGCAGCCAAGTTAATTAATGATTACACAGCTGGAAAACTTCTATAATCTCACCACAATTTACAAAATTAATTCAGTGTGAGAACCACAGCTGCACAAACCCTAATCAAGGATATTCAAGCACATAGCACGAAAGGTGTTGACAGCAAGCGTTTTAATATATTAAATAAACATTTTTTAAGCCCCTCTTCTAATCAGGCTGGGTGAGCATAGTTGTCTGCTGCATTTAGCTTTCCACTTCTGACATGTTTCATCTCAAGCATAGGACATAAAATACCCCTACTGAGCTGAGATTTGGGTTATTTGTACATGCCTACTGAATATAAATTGATATAAATATGGAACTCCCTTTTCCCAGTTGGGTTATCAGTGTTGTTCATATGTCCTAGCAATGGGAAAGCCTCTCCCTGTTTAGCTACAGCCCTGATTGTTTTTCATACTCTTCAATTCTGACAAGCAGATTACCAGTGATTTTAGTGTACACATGGTTCCACTGAAACTCACCCAAGTCAGGCAGGCGTTTAAAGAAAGCTGAGTTAGGAATAAGATTACTGTTCATCTGTGATAAAATGTTCTTTTTCTCTATGCCCTACCTTTCTGTTTCCCTTGGATGTTGTTGTCCTGCATTACAGTGGCAAAATAAAACCGCTCCACTGTGACTGCGTTTCCCTATGTGTATTTTCAAGATCAGTTTTCACCATGATAAATCACATCTTTGTAATGATATCAGCTTTTAAATTTCTTTATTCAAACAGGGACAAGCTCTTCTATGGATGCTCTGGAATGCATTTAGCCTGAGTTTACATCAATTTAGTTTAATGAGTTTGACTTGAGCTAAGTCATTGTAAGCTAACAGCTAAGAATATCCAGACAAGGTTTTGCATCAGTCTGAGTCGATTTCAAAACCTATTTTACAACAAAGTAGTGTCTTTTTTATATGTGTTCATTTGATCTGAAGTTTGAGTCTAATGGCTTTCAGGAAAAAAACATTTGCAAATACTGCTGGGAGAAACAGTCCAGGGCTACAGAAGATTTGTAAATAAAGAAATATATTTGGAGGCTTGAACTGCTCTGCCTCTGTGTGTGGCTTCCATTGTGCAATCAGCTGCAAAGCCCAGTGGTACCATACACTTTTGTTGTAAAATAAATTTAAAAAAAAAAAGTGAGGTTGTGAGGACAGATACAACACCCTCAAAAGTGGAACGTGTTGTTCTGGAAGCTTCATAGAATGGTTACAGGACATGCAGGTTTTGAACCATCTGAGAGCATTACACAGCCCCAGTGGAAATATTCACTGTCTCAGAGCCTGCCTTGAATGCTGCGATGTGGGGCTGATTATATGGTATGTGAAGGAGAGGAGAACATAATGAAACATCATCTTGGGATAGAAGGGCCAGGGTGAACAGCCCCCTTGGCCCCCTCCTCCCTTCCCTTTCACAGCAGAGACAGGGGAGGCTCTGCAGCTGTGAGAGAGAGAACTCCCTCTGCATTGAGAGCAACCAGAGGGAAGGGAGAGCTCCCTGCTCGGATCCCTGGGGCTGCAGCTACACAAACAGAGTGAGAGGAGATGAAAGGCTCTGCTTAAGCTGTTGCTAGAGGGCAGGTATTTAACATTTTGCTGGGTGGAGCTGTGAGTGCCCAGATTTGTGTGCAGGGCAGCAGGGTGGATGAACAGGTGCTTTCTCCACCTGCAGGAAGGGGTGGGTGGGATTCTGGAGCAAACATGCAAGTTTGATAAGCTGTGATCTGTTTGCCTTGAGGGGACAGGTATTCTGGAGATGTAGGGTGTTTGGGATTCCTGCATTGCTCAGTGTTTCAGTTCCTGTGTCAGCTGACAGCTGGCCTTAACTGCAGGGCTGAGGAGCCATTAAAGATTTCCTTTTGCCTGGAGAACAAGAGTGAGAGAGAGAGGTTAAATTTAGTGTGGAAAGCCACCAGGCCCATCCTAGTAACTGTTTCCTACAAACAATTACCTGCAATCATTTGGTGCTTTTTTCACTTGACTGGAAGTTAGCAGGAATTGATGTTTTTGGAGTCAAATCCTCCATTTTAAAGCTGCCATTTTCTTACCACATTAATATTCCTGGAGGATCATATTCCATAGGCAGCAGCACTGACTATTTTTGATCCAGGTATGGTGGCTTTGATAAACAACCTTTGACATCTTTTGCATTCTGCTCAGATTTCTGAATGTTGAAGGGAAAACTGTCCTATCTTACGTCAGTATAGCAGATGGTATCAGGATTAGATTTTTAGTATTTAATAGAGCACTTGGCTTCAGTGTCATTTGAATCTTTCAGCTCTTCCTAGATAAAAGAGACAAACTGAGTGAAGGTCCATCCAATGTGATGTATAGAAGTGTGCTTCTGTTCTGCAGCTTGCAATTTGGAGTGTATAGATATCAAAGGATCTCAGCCCATCAAAACTTGCACAGATTTTTTTATTATTATTTTTAATTCATAAGATTTAATATTTCTTAACAAAGGGAACTTTGTCATTTGATTTTGGCTGATTGGCACTGGGAATGGATTTGACATGGTGTATCATGCCCACAATCCTAACATAAATAGGAATTATTTCTTTGTGGATATGTTAGTGACACTTAAGATCAAGTTTTAACACAGAAGGTATAATTTTCATTGGCTGTATCCCAGTTCATGCTTTCTATCCTATAGTAATAAGCAACTTATTTTAATGCTTATTTTATTTTCACAGTTTATGTTTTATCTAGGAAATTGAGACAGGAATTCTTTGGAGAGAGATGTCATTAATCATATAGTAGTTTCCTGAACCTTAATTTCTGATCTGATTTTGCAGAAGCAGGCTCTACAGCTTTCCTATGTAATATGGTCTGAACCGAGATAATCCTTTGTAGGTGGGAGTTTTTCTATTTCATTTTATTGTGGAATAAGCCTAAGTTTTCAAGACTGTTGGAACAGCCATAAAAACTTGACAGAAAGTGCAGATTCAGGAAATTAGGCCCATGCTGTTCCATTTGTCTCAAGATTGTACAGATAAGAGTCTCCTGCACGTAGCCATCCCTGACCCTGTTGAGCTGTAACACAAACTGCCACTTTCAATACTGCAGATAATTTAGAATAGAGTTAATGTATCTTCCACTTCTAAAGCCTAAGCAGGACTGGTCCTTTCTGCTCTGACAGGCTGCTCTATAACAAAGTGCATGGCCACTGTGACACAGAGCACATGGAGCTCTGGCTACTGAGATTCTGATGACAAAGAATGTTTCAGACAATTTTAATACCAGTACAGAAAATGCTGCTCATCTTAAAAAGGAAAATCAGTCCTGTCCTACAGAGCAGATAGCCCATTATAAACAGCGCTTCTGATTATCTACATAAGGCAAAGCCAACAAGCTTGTAGGGCAGTATTTTGGGACTACAAAGAGATAATAAAGACTGCAAGATGAATACATTTTCTGGTCAGTGTTTCAGCCATACCTGCAGTTCATTTGAATTCTGCTGAAAAGCCATTAAGTAGAAGTGTGAAATATACAGTCTGGTTTTATTTAAGAAAAAAAAGTAAAAGACAAAATGTTGTGTTTGATTTGCAGTTTTTTAAACAGCTCCTTTTTATGTGAAAAAACAAAGTTAATTTGTCTGACCTGGCAGTCCCTTCATATTTTGAATTATTTTGCTTGCTTAAGCTTATTTTACATATGTCCCTCCTAATCTCAGAGCGGGAAAAACTTGATGAAGTGTGTCCAGACTGTGCCATGACAAAGGCACTGTTCATAGCCAGAGCATCCTCATGTGGTTATCTCTCTGATGTAGGCTCTCTTCTACCTCTGTGCTTCACATGGCTGCTCTGAACAGAAGTGGCAGGTGGGAAAATGAACACATACTATGTCAAAGAGCATCTGGTCTGGGAGCAAGTAGACCATGCTCTTTTTACCACCAGCAAGAAATGATTATTCACAGCATGATTCTTCTGAGGTTAATAAGGATGGCAGTAGAAAGCCAGACTCTAATTTGAGTTTTTTTTGATTGATTCTTAATGATATCTCACACACTGGTCAGTGGCATCCAATAAATGGCAGGCACTTCTGACCTTCCTTCCCTTTCTTGTTAAGTAATTTCAGCCATATAACAGCAATAGGAGCAGACAGGCAGTGAATTTCCTGGGTGGTAATTGCATTTCTTTGGTGGCTCAGATCCTCACCCTGCAACATCCAGACTGACAGCACACGTAGCTGACTCCACTCTGCAGTCTTTTGGCACCAGGCTGTTGCACTTTCAGAGTAGGAAGGGCAAAATATTATGGTGGTTTAATGACTCTGGGTTTAAGCACAGAAGTGAGAAGTAGATAAGTCTGATTTGACGTATTGGCCTGCTGCCAAATTAGCATAGTGCATTTTTGCTTTAATGTGCTTTACACAAAACTGAAATACCAGAGTGTCATTCTTTATTATGTAGGCCTGAAGCATATGTTAGCAAATTTGCTGCCATTTCCCTCATGGTTTCTTTTTTTCCTCTCATATTTTTGGATATGGGTTGCATGGCTGGATTTTTTTCAGTAATGTTTATTTACAAAAACTAATTAGACTTGTTGCTATCAATAGCCTCTAACAGAGCTCTTAAGAACAAACTGCACGACAAAATTGACATCGTGTCCTTGTTAAATCAACTCCTGCTGAGTGGGCACGATTTGCATATTGATTACTTCACTTCCTTGATTGCCCTTTTTGCAGTGACATAGTGGGTGGGGAGTGGTGGGGAGCAGAAGTGTGGGAGAAGGGAATGTTGTGCTCTAGTTTTTACCAACATTGCCAAGATTTGCCCTTGACCAGTGTGTGCAGAGTGGTGGCAGAAGTGTGTGAGAAGGGAATGTTGTACTCTGTTTTACCAAGATTGCCAAGATTTGCCCTTGACCAGTGTGTGTCAGACCCAGTGTGCAGAGTGGTGGGGAGCAGAAGTGTGGGAGAAGGGAATGTTGTGCTCTAGTTTTTACCAACATTGCCAAGATTTGCCCTTGAGCAGTGTGTGCAGAGTGTAGGGAGCAGAAGAGTGGGAGAAGGGAATGTTGTGCTCTAGTTTTTACCAACATTGCCAAGATTTGCCCTTAAGCAGCATGTGCCAGACCCAGTGTGCGGAGTGGTGGGGAGAAGTGTGGGAGAAGAGAACATTGTGCTCTGTTTTACCAACATTGCCAAGATTTGCCCTTGAGCAGCGTGCCCCAGACCCAGTGTGCAGCAGGACCAAGGGCTCCTCAGCAGCTCAGAACTCTCCTTTCTCCCCCAGCTCGTCCGCTACAGCTCGGAAGGCGTCCTGCAGCTGGGACCCCTGGGCTCCACCGCCTTCCTGCCTGACTCCAAATGCCTGGTGGACGATGGCAAGGGCAGGACACCCACCCTCAAGAAGTGTGAAGATGTCCTGAGGCCAGCACAGAGGTTCTGGGATTTCACACAGGTGAGGAAGAGCTGAGGAAGCCTTGAAGAGATGAATTAGAGAGGGATGATGCCAAGGAGGTCTTTGGAGGGCTATACCAGGAATTCCCCCCAGTACTTTTTAGAAATAGTCAGATATGTTTACCATAGATCATATGCTACCCAGGAATATTCTTTCATTATTAATAGAAATTTTGGGGTATGATTTCTAGGAATTTTTGCTTATCCTGTTTTGGAGTATTCTTAATTTCCCTCCCGATTGTCAAGAATGTGCTTGTAATTGTTTTTTGCATTCAGAACTTTTCTAGAAATTTTTCTAGCACCTTTATAGGCATTTTTAAAGATCTAGAATCTTCAAATAGTTTTTAAGACTTTCAAAAGCATTATTATAGTCTCTGGGATTTCCTGTTTCTTGGGCTCTGTAGGGATTCAGTAGTGCTTTTTAGAGATTTTCTTGTGATTTGGGGGGATTTTCCCTGCAAATCCTAATTGTACAATTATCAAGGAATTATTGTGGTACTTTTTATGTATTAACTAGCTTTTCATAGGAATTTCTAGCACTTTCTGGAGCATTTATCACTTGATATATACAGAAATGCATTTTATAATGTTTTTTAAGGATTTACAGATCTAGCACTGTTTTTTCTAGTCTGTTCACCTTGTGTGTTCCTTCCTCTAATCTTTTTTTTTTCCTATCTTTTTTTTTCTAGAATGGTCCAATCATCAGCAGAGACACAGGCCGTTGTCTAGAAGTGGAAATGTCAAAGGATGCAAATTTTGGGCTCAGATTGGTCGTACAAAGGTGCTCGGGTCAGAAATGGATGATTAGAAACTGGATCAAGCATGGGAGGCACTGACTGTGGGGCTGAGCTGCCTCTCCTGCTGCTGTCCATTGCTCAGTGTGCCATATCTCCTGAGGCATTTGTCTTAAAGCAAATTAGTTTGAACAGGTCTTGGCTCTCAAGAGTCCTCCATCGTTGGGCATTCCAAGGAAAGAAAGAAGAAAAAGGAAAGCAGACACACACATGCCCTGTTTGACTTTTCCTTGCTTCAGCAGATGATGTGGGAAGATTAACAAGAGTTTTATGTTGATTTGGAAATCTTGTGAAGACCAGAACACAACAGGAAAGTGGATTCCTCAAGCTCTCCCAGAGGAATTGACAGATCTTTCTATGCTGAGTTCAAAGGAGACATCCCAATACTGCCTCAAAAAGAGAGTTCTCTGATGGGTAGCTTTTTAGCTTTAAGTTTTGGACTGGTGCACAACTCCTACGGTGAATAATTATGTGCCTTTTTTATTGTACTTGGTATAAAAGAGGACTGGAAAAATCCTACCTTTTCAGCATGTCTGGTTCATTGTACTAAACAAGAAGATCTGTAAATAACATTGGAAATATGTTATAATATATGATACATTTCAAGGTTGATTGTTTAGGAGTCTCTGTTTCTAGAAAGAGACTGTTCTGCAAATGTTTACAGGTGGTTCTCAATCTTTGAGCTGCTGGACAGCAGCATTTTAGAGACCTCTTCTAGTTAGACACAGATAAATGTTGAATAGGTAAAATAGCCACATGCTCCGTTATATTGCCACATTTTACATTTGTTGGCTGTAGAGACATCACAGTTTAGCACTTGGATATTTGGCTCTTCTGAGGCAGTAAATGTCCTGGTGGATGGATGGATTTCAGGAGGCCTCAGCTGGCCCCAAAGCCCTGAGTGTGTGTCCTGTCCTGCAGGTCACTGTTGTGTTGTTCCAGAGACTGCCTGGAACAAGAATACTCCAAATCCTCCTTATTCTGGAAATAAGTTGACTGGCTTAGGTGCCATCTGTGGAGCTTAAAAACTTGGATCTTCCATTTTGTTTCCCATCCTGTGAAAATGTCAAATGTGAGCAAATATTCTGTGTGAGCACTGTCTAGACAAATTTCCTGAATAAACCAACAAAGTCTTTTCAGCATTTGAAAAACAAACACAAGCCTAGTGATAAGAAGGCAAATTAGAGCAAGAGGTAGGGAGCATATATAAATACTGTTACTCTGAAATATAAATATTTTACTCTAGCTGACCCATTGGCAGCATCTTTGTAAACCTGAATTTGATAATGTATCCAGTGGTTCATGCAGGGTCAGTGCATATGGACAGAGCAGTGACAAGGTCTTTTCCAAAAAGCTGTCAAAATTGATGAGCACTGTCATCAGCAGGTTTTGGATGGGGGTCCATGGCACACAGCTTTTCTGTACAGATGATTTCAGTCATACTGAAGGAGAGACAGAGATGGTATCTGTTAATTTCACAGTTTAATATTTTATAGTTTAAAAAAATTGTTTTGTTTTACTGAGCCAGAGAAATAGATAATTGCAGTCACTGTGGTACTGTGAATCTTGGTGATCTGTTCCTTGAATAACTTTTGCCATTCCTATTTCAAGGCATGCTGAACAAAATTTAATGGAAGCAAAGTTAATTTTTCAAGGGCATGATATGTAATAAAATTTTTACTTTTAACATGCAAAATCCATCAGATCTTGTCAAGTCTTGGTTAGTATCTACAAAGCATATCACTATGTTTTGCCCCAGTTTTATTCTTGAAATAGAGTGTGCAAGATGCAATACCAAGCCAATTCTCCTGGAGTTTACTTGTGGCTAATTGCTGATCTTTATTCATGTCTCATGGACCAGGTTACACATGAGCATATACAGAAGAGTAATTCTGGGTGAGATTCTAGGTACAAAAATACTTAAAATTCTGTGTTTGTGGTAAGTTGAACACAACCTTTTGAAAAGTGTAATAAGACCTGCAGGGAGAGTAGCATCTTTAATAAATCAAGCAATACTGTATAAAATCACGGACAATCTCAGTATTCAAGCCTTCCTGCAGGTCCAAAACAGGTAGGAAACTTCAGGCTAAATAGAGATTGGGAACAGCTGCCCTGCATTTAACCTCCTTATGTTAAGCTATCAGACAATTTAAAATTATATTCACCATCTATGCAGCAGATGTTGAAGGCTTTGTACAGGAGTGAGTTTGTAAGTGAGTTTTCATCTTCTCTCCAAATACAATTTCCACCTTTTAAAGCGTATGAAAGCTTTATTCTCCTTTTGTTTCCTCTGATGGAGTTTTACTCCTTGAGGGAGGTGAGAAAGCAAAAGAAGGAAAAGATGGTTTCACCAGGTGAGATTTTGGGGGAGTAACAGGACATTCACACCCATTTTTGGTCTTTCCAGTGAGTAAGTGCTAACTATTTAATATGAACATGGCAGGCAGTGGAAATTAATTATATATCAGTGTGACCTATTAGAGTATGAAGTTGCAGTACTGAACAGAAGCAAATATGTCATGTGCTTTCTTTTTCCCTTTTATTTTTCCTTGTCTTGAATTAGCAATCTACATTTGATCCTTGGTTAGCCCCTTAGTGGGGCAGCAAGCCTTTCAAACCCTGGGTAAATGAAAAAGGAAAGCTGAATATTTAGAGGAATTTAAAGTTTAAATCTATGCTACTGAAACAAATCTGGCATAGGCAGTTTAGGAGCTTTGAAGCTGAGAGGACCAGATAGATCTGTGTTTACTGGCAGAGATTTCAAACCTTCATCTGACACCACCATGATCAAAGAGAATTGGGTTTCTTGGAATTTTGCCCCTCAGGGCATTTGACTGTGGCCACACTGTCTGAGAGTGGTCAGTCCTGGCAGGTTTGAGTGCCAAGGCCACCAGCTGCAGGAGGCTTGCAAAGAACCAGACTTAGGGTACAAGAAGGAAAACAGGTTTTTGTGGTAGATAAATGGCTTTGAGATTTACATAGTAACATAAAAGAAATCAAATAACTCTTAAAAGGTGGAGTTGGTATTTTATGTGATTGTCATTTTTTTAAGACTTGCTGGAACAATTTCTTATATTTGCAAAACACATCTGTTGGATTAATTTTACTTTATTCTTTATCTGTATGAACCACTGCTTTGGCTGTGGTACTAACATGGTGACTCTGCATGTGAGAGGGTCTTAAATATTCTCTCGTCAAAGGAATAATAATAAAAAAAGCCTTGAGTATTATCTGTTTTAACCAAAGTCTATGGTTCTTTTGTCAGTATTTCACCCCTTAGTATAATCTGAAATCCTGCTTAACGGTGTTCAAATTTTCAGTCTTGTTTCCCACAGTGCAGCATTCTAGATCTCATGAAAAGTATTCAATGTAGTGTAATATGCCTTGTGGAGAAAATTCAGATCAAAGGCTTTCTATGCTATTTTGTTTGATTTAGAGGATTATGGAGCTAAATACTAGGTCATAGGACAAAAGAATAGAAGGTAAGAAAGACCAGCACACCAGTAAGAAAGTCTAGCACACTGTTGTGAAAGCCAACCCAGGAAAAATATTATTTTCTAAGCATATTAGAGTCCCTAAAAATGAGTTTGAGTCCTAAGGTAATAAAAGCCTTTTCTTTTTTGAGAGCTATAGACTATTTTCCAAGCTGAATTTAATTTTGGTTTGGTTGAATCTATTTGTTCCTCATCCAGAGCTGTCCTCTAGCCTTACTGGCTTGCTGGTTCCTGAGGCATGCTAAGCTCCAGTGGGAAGGAAACAAGAGAAATGTGATGCTTTGGAAGGGCCCACTGGATTCCCCTGCAATCATGTAAGTTCTCTATTGTGCTCACCCATGAGAACTCTTCAGGCCTGTTCCACATGCAAAAAACCAAACTCAGGTTGCACAGAAGTTGTTTAAGACCAAAATATGGAAACAAACAACAGCTCTTCATACGTATTTTCAAAGTGTTGAAATGTTTCTCTCAGTTGAATTAATAATTTGGGGCTTAATGTATCTGAAGATGAAGCCTTCATGGTCCTTCATTTACAGTCCTTTTCATTGACCTGTCCCTTTTAAAAAACTGATCTAGTAGATGAAAATCTCACTTGCCATGTGACAAGGGGTGTAAGCTATCTGACACAGGATAGCTGCAGTTTTAAGTGCTTAAGTCATAACTAGTCAGATTTAATGAAATAGCACCAGTCCTAATCTGTTCTTTAGATCAATTAGAGTGTGTATTTCTTCAGTACCCAGTATTCATTTGAAATGGTTCATTACCAGCCACACAGAAGTGCATTATGGCCAGTTTCAGGATCCAGGGAGTTGGGCTATAAGAAATACAACAGAAGTAGTTCAGAGGGAGTTTAGCATATTATTATTCAGATACGGCACAAATACCTTTGTTTTTCATGAGAGGCTTTGGGAGGAAGAACAACTACCAGAATTCACTTGATTGAAGGCATTTCTAACAATGATGTTCTATTTTTTCCTGCTGCTATTTTGACTGCCTGCTTCTTAGTGCTGATCAAAGTCAATGGTAGAGGTCATAGCACAGATAAAAGATGGTGTTGCAAATTTGAATATCTAGGTAACAGGCTGGATAGAAACCAAGAAATGATCAGATCTCTAGATCTAGATGCCACCACAGGAAACTTAATACCCAAAAATTCTCTTTGGAAAGAATCCCAAACTACAGTGACTTCTTTAGTGCATTATAATGGATTTCAGAATGGCTCCATAAAATTCAGTGACTTACTTTACAAATGCATTAATGACATGTAACTAAAAGGTATTAAGTTCAGGGGTTGTCCTAAATAAAAACATTGGGGTTTGGCCAGGAATGCTTACAAATACCCAGTGAAACAATATATGGCAACCTGCTTTTGAAAAACAATTTCTGAATCAAGAGTGAAGAGTGTCTTCAAAGACATGTCAAAGCATTGATTACTTTTCATAGTATTAATGTTTCCTATTGGCCATCAACAAGTGTTGTGCAGTTTTCAAACTCTTTGTAATGTTTAATTTTTAAAAATTGCAGCAACTAGAATGCAAGTTGTGACTGCAAATATTTTTTCATTATGTGGCACATCATCAAACCAATTTGTATTCACACTGGAAAAGTTAATAAATTACTATGCATTTTACTGCTGACATGAGCTGCATGTTTTATCATTGTACATTTGGACACGCATATTAAAATTCCAAGATTCACACAAAGGAAAACTAGAGTAGCAAAGCATATGGGCATTTTAAAATTTAAATTGCACATATTGTGTTCTGAAAGGCAGTCACCACACACTCGTAAGAGACTTGGCCCTGGGGTGCACAACCAAAACTGGATTGATAACAGTGCAGACTAATGTCATCTACATATCCAGCATCTCATTACTGCAAACAGTCAATAATTGTTGTTTAGAAATATGAAATAGGATGCAGGGAAAATGTAAAATGATCCTTTCACCATGTATGTCCCCCTAATTTCTCAGGGTAAGGCCTTCCCAAGCCAGAGGCTCTACACACCATCCCAACCATTAGATTTAATGACTCTGGGGCTGTGTGTATCCAATCCACTCAGAGCTCTGGGTATCACAACATCCTGCTGTAATAAATAGCACAGTTGCTGTGAGTCAGTACCACAGCCCCTCATTCCATAGGATGCCCTGTAGTTCTCTTATGGTGAAAAGCTGTGAATAACTGCTGCCAACTCTTTTTTAACACCCTTTTTCATTTGACCTCTGTCATCCTGTTTTAAAATATATTTCTGAACTGACTGTCATGCTTTTTTTTTTGTGTCACCAGCAAACAACTTTGTAACTGCACAAGCAGATGGTCTGTGTCATCTCTTGTGCTGGGTGATAGCAGGGTGAGAACCCATTGGGTTCCTGAGCTGTTCAGTGGGATAAAACATACATTGCTGGCTTTAACATTGATTTTGGATCTCAGCCAGGCTGTTTCTCCAGTGTGTATGACAAAGTTTGCAATTTGTGATCAAGGAGAACAGAGCATCTGAGAAAGGATCCAAGCCCTTGTTTCATTCTTCCCTGCCCTTGCTGCTTCTGCTGTCAGGAGGCTGTGGAGCACCCAGGATTACAGCTGAGTGACCAGGATGGGACATGTGCCCATGTTCCTGGCTCTCTTACACCCCTTTGTTCAGCTGAATCAACTGGGTGACACCTGAAACCCAAGCTTTTTCCTTCCCAATTTCTGCAAGGACAGTGACTGCCTTAGTGGAGGAGCAGCTGTTGATTCCTTGGTTTTCCTAGAGAAGGTGGGGTTGGCTGTGGTCTTCAGGTGGGTGACAATACCACCAACCTCAGAAGGAATGGCCTGATACAGCCTTGGCAAATTTAGCTCCATCCCCAGGATCAGTCTTTGTTCTTTCCCATTTCTTTGTAACTCCATGCTGAGGACTCTGTGTAGAAACACTGCTCTGTTTTGAGCCAAGGTATTCTGTAGACCCAACTTCCTATTGTAATCAAGCCAGCATTTCTTGGAAGGAGAAACATCACCTTTGAAGGTACCATATGCTTGCTAGAATAAATGTTTCGTGAATAATACCCAGCAAAATTAGGTTTGTATAAATATTTTGTCAGCAGTTCTGCATCTGACAACCATTTTTTTGCAGAAGTTATCCTAAGCATGAGTTTTTTCACTGTGAAGAATGTATTCTGTGGATGTAGCCACCCTTTTGTTTAATAAATCTTCATGAATTGACTGGGAATCATTAATATGTGCCTGTAACTGAGCACTGACTGGCAGTGATAATGATTTTTCAGCCTATAATGGCTTGGTCATGTTTTTGTTTTGTTTTGCCTGTCTATTGTTGCTGCAACATAGTTGAACACCTTTATTAGTTAGCCTTGCCTTTGCATCCTGACTCATTATCTGGAATTTAAAGGAAATAAGGACTGGGTATTTTCCTATCTGTAATGTTGAGGTAAAAGCAAGCAAACAAACAAAACCTCCTTCCTTTTTTCTAGAATTTACTAAACATTCCTAAATTGTGAATTAATCCAAGCTTATTTCAGTGTTTAAAACTAACTGTAATCCTAAGAACCGGCAAACAAAACCCATGCAAATCTAGTGCAAGGTTTTCCTGGACTTTGTTCTTCTTTCCATTAGCCCACTTTTACTGCTTCACCAAATCCTACCATTTTCCTTTTAGGATTCATCTTTTTCTATTATTCTTTCAGGTGTGTTACTGATGTAGAGGAGATGTACTGAAGAAAAAGAGAGCATTCTAACTAAAATTCTAACAAAATTCTGTCATTTACAGAACTTAGGGGTAAAGCTGTGATCAACAAAGTGATGTGACATTCATTGGACCATGTGTGCAACATTATTTATTTTTTAAAAGCCAAGCAGAGCTTCCTAACAGCCTCTGTCCTGCTGACAGTAGAGGCTGCAAGATGACTCTTTGTGTGGGCCCAGCTGGCAGAAAAAATTCTTGAGGAGCTCAGAGTTCCAGTAATGGGTGAGAAGGGAAGGACAAAGCATATCAGGATTTCCTTGAACTGCAAAAGTGAGAGTTAAAGGAAGACTGAGCTGCACTGTCCAACCTGGAAAGCAGGAACTGACATACAGCAATTCACCTGGTGATAAGGCCCTGGCATCTTTACATGAATAACAGAGCTTTAATAAAGGGATTTTAATCAGAATTCAGGAAAGATTTTTCTGCTTTTGGAGTTTATTACAGAGAAATCTGCCTAATCTGTTGACAGAGCTCCAAAACACACAGGTCAGGGCTGTGGTGTGTTAGCAGTGAAACATTTGCCAAAACCTATTGAAATTCTCTGCGTACTTCAAGCATTGGCATTCTGAGGAGAAGCTGGTGCCACCTATCATCAAAAAGGAGGAAATTAAAGACCAAAGTGATGTGTTTAAACTGGAGAAACTGCTATTTTCATTGCAAAGCTGATTGTTTTATATTAAATAGGCAATTAGCAAGATGTTGGGGCTACTCAGGATGATTCTGGGTGAGGTGCTGACCTGGCCACTCTCACCCTGCAGAGGAGGTCAAGGCTAGGCAGATCCTGGATGTTCTGGTCTGATCAAAGGGAGTGTTATAAGATTACAATCTGCATTAAGGGTGCAAATGCAAGTCCAGCAGATCAGTTGAGGTCCAACTCACCACAATTAAGTAGTTAAATATTTTTGTGAATCTGAACCTAAATAACTTTTTCTCCACTTTTTCTCTTTTTAGATGATACAAGTCATTTTGAGTTATTCTTGAGAACAGAGTGTGGGTTTATGAAAGTGGCACAG